TATATATATATACAAGGTTGCTAGCGGTCCGCTTGCGATCAGAGCTGTTGTGAATTCTTTATTATTATTTATTTTTTTTATCATTCAAAGTTTGTTTTATCTGCAATTCGCTGATGGCACTGGCAAAGAATGGGAATCTGGAGCACCAGGAGAAGCATTTTAATATATATATATATATATATATATACAAGGTTGCTAGCGGTCCGCTTGCGATCAGAGCTGTTGTGAATTCTTTATTATTATTTATTTTTTTTATCATTCAAAGTTTGTTTTATCTGCAATTCGCTGATGGCACTGGCAAAGAATGGGAATCTGGAGCACCAGGAGAAGCATTTTAAAATGGTACATGTGAGCTATGATAGTCATGTTTGTGCACTGAACACATTGCAGAACTGTGTCCCATGCCTGCGCGTCAGGTCTCCACTAAGGTAGGCAATGATTCCCTTTTCACAAACTCTTGTATCTACTTTATTTTTCTGTTTCGTTAATGTTAGGGGTCATTATGGCTGTTGCTCATCATGGCATGCGCGGATGCGCATGGGTATGCGTGCACCTGCGGTAACGGGTGGATCCCGAGAGTTGGTTGCTTCAAAATTAGAACTTTGGTCACAATAGGTGGGGCACTCCAGGGTGAAGTGGAAACAAATACAGGGCGAGGTTCAACACTTTGTTCACAATTGCATGAGCAAATAGGAACAGAATGTTTTTCAATGTACAATTGCAAGGAATTCAGCGATTTGAAAATCAAAAGATTCTGACATTCTGAAGACATTTCTGCAGTTTCGAGGCAACACTGAAAACCACCACTGAATGCTTGTGACCTCTGATCCCTTAGGCAGCACTGCATTAAAAATTGGTACTGTTGTCATGAGGACATTGTCAAGTGGCCTCAGGAACACTTCAGAAAAGCACTGTCAGTTAACACAGTTTTTCTCTACATCTAGTAATGCAAGTTAAAATTCTACCATGCAAAGCAAAAGCTATATATCAACAACACCCACCCACAATTGTCGTCAGACCGAGCTAGACTGATGCGAAGTGGCTAAGTATGCCATGGTATGACATTTACAATTTTTTGGGGTGCGGGGTGGGCAATATGAAAAGAACCATCCACATTGTTATCAGTGAGTTCAAAATACTGCCATCCAAGCAACATCTTTCAAAGGATGTCCCTGATTATTTCAGCAGGTAATGCCTAAACCTTGTGCTGAGTTGTTTTTTTTTTTTTTTTTAGTCAAGTAGACAAATTAGCCAGCCGGACAATAAACAGGGAGAAAATATGGCAAATGAACTCATTTTATCATCAAAACGGTCATCCTAAAATTCCTTAGTGTGTGCATCTCTCTGACTTTTAATGTTTTTCTGTCACCTTTTTATACTGTGTGAAGCAAGGTGGCAGAAACTTCTGCATCAAGTTACCAAGGAAACAGAATAAAAAAGCATATCTGAGATAATTAGTCTTTCAGAACAAATAATTTTGCTTCGTTCGTTTTTCTTAGCAACCACCAGCTGCACAAAACATATCCAGGAAAAAAATCTTAATGATGTAACTCTTGCTCGCTAGCCGATATTTTAGTTCATCAGTAAAGTTTTATCATGAAATACATTGAACATTTGCTGCCTATGTGGCTGACAAAATTCTTGAAAAATTGAAAATGAAAAACAAAGAGTATTGTACTGTGGCCATTTTGTAAAAACTAAAAAGAAAGACCGTGCACATACTGTAAGTGCACTCACACAATGGTTGCTTTTGCACATCGTCTTACTTGTTTGTTGACCACAAAACAAAGGCTTCCTCCATTTTCTGTCACGGACAACTTCAGACTCTTCCTCTCCTTAAAGGACAAGTTTTTCAGGTCCAAAAGCACTGAGCACTTGTCAAACACAGCCATGCCTGCACAAGGGAGACACTGCAAGCTCGATTTGACCACTTGGTTTTCAAAAATACAATAATACAGTATTACAATACAGTAGCCACGAAGGATAATATTATAACATGGTGTTTTGGCAATTTACGGTCATTGCCCAATCAATCACTGTGATCAGTGAGCCAAAAACAGGCATAATTAATGTATTCACTTTTTTTTTTTTACTTCAAAATAGAGTTGTGTCTCGTAATTCAACGAAGAACAGGCAGCATAGCAGGTTGATATGAATGTTGTTTCCCCATATGTGTGAATACTAAACAAAACCCCACCCACAAAGGCATGAAGAGAGTGACTGCACACCTGAAATTTTGACCTGAAGAAGCCTTTTGGATTCAAGGTGAAATGGCTTCAATAAACAAGAACAACCCAGGTGCCTTGCTTCGTTTTTTTTGGCTGATAACCGTGGTTAGGATGACTGAGTATCTGTATACACACAAAGAATTTCAAGGCAAGTATTAGTACAAGTCTTAACATTCAAATCACACCAACAAGCAGGAAACGTAACAGTATTAAGCATACATTTAGAACAGTACCAAAGTACGGTGCGAGTAAAAGTATTGTTTGATTTCAACATCCCACCACAGTACAAGAACCCTGACTTGCGTGCTGTTGGGGGAAGAGCGGCCTTTCTCTCCCTCCACGTGTTCGTTAATTTCGGACGATGAGGATGTTGGTTATCCAAATACAGGCTGGAGTCAATGAACAGTTCCTTCGAAGGGTTGAATTTATTTTTCTGCAGTTTACGAATCGATTCGAGCTCCTGAGGGTTTCAAATTTCAGTCAGGAAGCTCAGAAGAAACACATCATGAGATTATATAGAGACAATATGATAATGAGAGGCGGGGAGTTGCGCCTCCATGCAAATCTCAGAAACAAAGAAAGTAACATGTCATCTGACCCGGTGTGGCTGGAAGAAGTTGGGAGTGGTGAGGTGAGACCAGACCACCATTACCAACCATTTGGTGTGATGGCAGGAACACAGATACTTGAGATAACAGTTCCTCTTTTGATGTTAAACATGTCCTATGGAGGGGGGGCTAAAAGTGGTGGGGGTCGAGGGGCACTAAAGGTGATTGTAAACACAGTGAGCAGGAAATACCTCCAACAACATTCTACATTCTTTGTTTCTTTCAAATCCAACTAACGGAGAGAAATAATACCTTAACAGTGTCATCAATTCAATGTAATAAAATGTAATTTGTATTTGGCAAACATATAATAAAATGACAAAGTTAAACGGAACAATAATAATGCCCCTGCGTCAAAAAAAAAAAAAAAAGACATTTACCGGAAGAGAGTAAAGGTCGTTGATACTGAAGATTAACCATACAAACACATGCCCGTGGTTCAATACGACGATGTAGCGACGCGAATTAAAGAAACTTTGGAAGTTTATACTGACCTGCCATGTATGTTTGTTTGAGAGTTTCTGTCAGGCTAACATGAACCGAAACCAAAAGCTCGGCAAAACGGTAATAAAGCTTCCGGTGTGATTTCAAAACAAAAGCTTTCTTTTGACATGACAACGAATAATCAAGACCACGAACAAGGTATTGAGTCATTAATTTCTGTGATAGTCGCTGATGGTGTAGTGGTACACTCTCCTGACTTGTGTACGGTCAGCGTGGGGTTGGTTTTCCGCACAGTGATGATGTGGATGTGGATGTGGGGATGTTTGTTCATTTCTCACAACGGTCGACTTGTTCACTATGACTCGCTGGCTACCAGTTCAGAGTGTAGTTCAGTACGCCCTACCTCCGAAGTCAGCTGGGATAGGCTCCTCCAGCCCCTGCGATCTTGTTCAGGGTAAGCGGTGTTGAAAATGGATGGAAGGTTGTATGTAATTTTTGTGATAATCACTTACTTTATAACAGAATTATCGAATGTATTTCACTCTCTTGCACAAACATTTTCCCTCACGATGTGGTCATACAAACCCCAATTTCAAGAAAGCTGGGAGGTTAAGTAAAACGTAACAAAAAATAGAATGTAATGATATGCAAGTCCTTTTCAATCTATGTTCAATTGAGTAAACACAAAGGACAAGATATTCAATGTTCAGACTTACGATGATGATGATGATGATGCTGATGATGATGGTCACGATGACGATGATTATACAATGCCTGCAACACGTACCAAAAAAGCTAAGGCAGGGGCAATAAAAAATCGGGAGGGTTGCTCAAAAACACCAGGCTTCTGTTTGATACGCTGGCTTCTCTGGGCGCAAGCTCAACTGAAATAGACTGACGCAAAGTGGAAAAGTGTGCTGTGGTCCGACAAGTCAACATTCCTAATTGTTCACTTCATCGTAAAAAGAGTGTAAGTACAATACTGGACCCCTTTCTCCCATTGAATGATTTATATATGATGTAAAAATATAACAACAGAAACCCTGGATTGTTGGGCAACTGAAGTTGTACAGTCCATCAAGCGAGAATGAGAAATGATTTCCATCTCAAAAGCTTCAATAATTCAGTTCCCAAACGCTCATTGAGTTATGAAAACTAAAGGTGATGTAAAGCAGTGGTAAATATTTTCCTCTTCCATCTTGTTTTGTTTTATCAAATCCAAAATGAGTGAACATTTACAAAAAAAAAAAACACACACTAACAAAAACAAAACAAAACAAAAAACCCCCCAAACATGTTTATCAGTTTAAACACCAACATGTCTTCGTGGTGTATTCAACTGAATATTGGTTGGGAAGGATTTGCAAATCATTGAAATTCACCGGAATTAGATTTTGTAAATTCGTAATGATGGTATGATATGTTGCACTTTTATCCATCCATCCATTATCTGAATGCTTTGTTCTCATGAGGTCCGCGGGAGTGCTGGAGCCTATCCCAGCTGTGCTCTGAGTGCTTAGGCGTAGAAAAAAAAGTAGTGTGTTTCCGGTAACCCGACCGACCGAGAATTTCTACGTCGAAAAAAATCTTTTCGGTCGGCATTTTTTTCCAACAACCCTCTACATTTTTGTGTAGAGGGTTTACATCGGTGCAAACTCTCGCGATATTCACGTTGAGCGCGTGCGTCGTTTGCCGTCGTCTTTCAACAACATTGAAAAAGGCGGCGGCCGCGATCTCCGACGACATTTCAAACCGCGTTTTCTGTGTTACAGTCGTATGCTCGCACCATAATGTTAAGAAAATAGCATCCATTGATGTATCGAAAAAATTCAGCGAACTATTTGATGAACACCACGGGCCGAGTAAAAACCGAGGGCGGAGGAGGGCGGCGGTGCGCCCCGGACCCCGAGTCTGGAGCGGGGAGAAAACTAAATAGGTGGCGGCAGCACCGGCCACGCAGCGGCGGGTTCAATGTCTTCTTGTTTTATGTTTTATGGTTATTTTGTTTAAACTTTTGATGGGGAAAAAAAAAAACATTGTCCTACCTACCGACCCTATGCTGGAATTTCATGTTACCGGAAACACACTATCTTTTTTGTTTGGCCTTGTCGAATATCAGTGGAGAGACATCACTGCCTAGTCAGCAAAGACATTTGGCCCAGATTCGGCATGAAGCTGGCAAAGATGGCATTGTGTCGGCACTGGCTTAAGGCATGTGGGCCGAACATGGCCCAGTAGTGCCAAAAGAGGCATTGGCTTGACTCTGGCAAACCAGATGTAGGCTAGTTGTTGAGTGAAGTATCTGGGCCAGAAATCAATTTACAAGTCTGGCCCATATATGTACAGCCAGTATTGAGCCACCTTCAAATGCAGTTTCTGATTTTTTTTTTTCGACTCACAGCCTTGTTTTACATCGCAGACGTATGCGGAATTCTATTCATCACACACACATACACACACGCACACATTGGCACACGCACACACTAATTCTTGTGCACGCTCTCTCGTGAGCACACACAAATTAAACGTGGTCAAGTAAGATTATGTTGAAGTCCACTGACGTCAGCGAAAGAAGGTACAAGTTTTGAATTTTCGTATTTTTTGATTTTTGCTCATATGTACTTTAATATACAACAGTCAATTATTTTGCTGCACTCCGATACAGTAGGTAGTGATGCGCCGCGAACGTTAGCTGCCACCCGCCAATTAAGAAGAAGAAGAAGAAGGAAAAAGAAGACGCAAGAAGAACACCACTAGCACACAGTTGACCACATTTGCCCATGCACACTCAGGTGAAACATCCAGAAAAGACGTTGTGAGTAAATTTATTTAATGGTTAGGTTAACGTTTGTCTTTTGTGACAGTGCACTGGCAGTTACAATACGACGACAATTCTGTCTAGAGTTTAGCCTGAATTTTGAAGAGCGCTAATAATGACGATTAGCATTAGCCCGAAATGGGGGGAAATTATGTGCTCCAAGCACAGTTATGACTTCTTCATGGTGGCATTGGGAAATATTAAAAATATATTGTTTTACAATTTAAGGGTTATTTACATGTATTTTTTCCTAAAATTGTCACCTGCTGTATCTAAATCGAGACTGAAGCGTGCGAAATAAACCGCTCAGCTACGTCACAGGCGGGCTGGGCCTGAAGCTGCTGCGTCAGTTTCCGTGTGCATATGAGTTTAGTGAAAATGTAGGTGATTGTACAATCAGAGGTACTGCCAAAAAAGAAACCTTTCTGCACTGAAATACAATGAAATTAATTTTGATTCAGTTTGCTGCGATGCGGACCGGATACTTCATACTTGACCATAAAGTTAATTGAAAAATTGTTACCTGGATTTAAAAAAAAATCTGACATTGAAATGAAAAGTTTTGTATTTGTAAGACTGAATATGAAAAGAAACAGAATTTAATTTTCAGTGGGGATCAAATACAGTTTCAAAGAAAAAAAATATCCTTTTCAAATTCAAATTGTACAATTCAGATTCAGTGATTGTCAGATATTTTCTCAGACAAAGTTAAAGAAATGACTCAGCACACAGGAAAATTGTCTTCAATATCGGCGGGAGCGGATCTCTGAGAGCGAACGACGGTTTAGTTGCTCCGATGATCACACACTCCAGCTCCCTTCCTGCCAATTCAGACTTTTATTGTAACATACAAGGAAAACACTGCCCCCGACATTTGCATACTGCACCCCCGGTCCGGCCCCTCGGTAGTGATTGGTTACCTGAATTTAAGCGTTGAACCACCGGTACATTGGCGCCTTTTCTGTCTGGTCGACATCGAATTAACATGTTACAGACTTTGCGGATGGCCAATGTCGCCTGGGCGCGATGGGTGTTCTCAACTAGTCTTTTGTTGTTCAACCGCTGTTCCCGAATTATTCATTCCCCTTTTGTGACCGAGTTTCGCCCTCTCCCCTGTGATCGCCCACCTGCATTGACGTGCTAATTGTGGACTTCAACAGCCCTCCGGCCAGGTGGCCGGCACCTTTGTGCACAGGGATTTGGGGGTGCCGGGTACGCACCCAAACGTTTAGATGTGCCCAAATTAAATGAAACTTTAAACATGATACAATTTTGCTCATAGATTGCTCTAACAGTTATTCAATATGATTCAGATTAAAATATACAAATCAATCCATTATCCGAGCCACTTAACTTCAAATTATGTAATTCAAATTTGTTATAAACTATTTAAATCTATGTTATCCACATTTAGTTTTTAGTAGCAAATATTCCACCCCACAGTGTCACACCTAGTTTAAGAAATTTCAAGGGTTATTTTTACTTGAGCATTCATTGGTAATGAAATGTACAAATGATTGTTTTTCTAACACACTGTCCATCTTTGTTTTCTTACAGTTCTTACAGCCGCTGTCAGACCTAACAGCCTAACATCCTGGGCCACAGACCAGGAAATCGATGTCACAATCAAAAGATGGCTACATCTGGCTCCTGATAGGGCTGGTGAGAGCATGAGAAGAAAAGGGCATGGAGAGCACAATAATTTGATAGATAGAAAAATGCAGTTCAAGAGCAAGTTGCATCCCAGTTTGGACTCTGTGTTCAATGTTAAATCAAGAAAAGTGCAGTTTTCCAGTGTATGTGCAGTTACATGTGAGGTTCACAAATTAACACAATAAATATATTGTAATATCTGTTTCTTGTATTTGTGTGACATCATAGAAAGGGGACGAGCCAGGTTGGGCGAATATTGGCTCCGGCAGTTAAGTCTGAGTGGAGAGCGCATGGGCGTGAGTTGTGGCTAACAGCAACTCAGATGAATGTGTGTTTATTGCTCCTTTTGTTTATTAAAATCGAACAGGTTGCATCAGCGACTGTGTGCATCCTTCTGTCCACGTTGAAGGGCATTACAATATTTTTATAACAGTCGTTTTTGAGGCTTTCAAAAAAAAAATGTGGTCAAATATGGCTCATGAAAGAAGTGGCTTAGTTCAGGTTGAATTAAGTCTGATATCAGGAACCTGTTCTGGCCCAGCGTGGGGCCGGAGTAGGGCCAGATATGGTTATACAATTTGGCTCAGACATGGGCCTTATGTGGCCCACATTGTGGATGCCAGATGTGGGCCACTAAAGGACCATCATTCATTGAGGTATGTGGGCCGGGTGCAAGTGATGTATGTGGCCCAGAGCTGGGCCTGACCAATTTTGCTGACTGGGTGGGCTTGGTCTGTTACTGTCGATGTATCCAGAATGGCAGCATTAGCTGAGACAAGATATGCTCAAAAAGCGCTGCGAGCCAGCACCTACAGATATGAAAGATTCAATCAGTATGTTTATGGTCAAGCTGTTTCAGTGGAAATGGATCATGAGCCCCTTCTGTCAATCATGTCTTTGCCACTCAACCAGGATGCAATAAATGATGATAACGTCTGTAAAAGAATTATGTGAATATCGTCTTCACAGTAGACAAATACAGTATGTTGGATGCAGACACACTTTCTCGTGCAGGTGATAAAAATGAAAGCGCAGACTAAACAAAAGATGCTGGAATGCAGGCTTAATTTGGACATGAGAGCGTCATCCCTCTTTGTCTCTGAAGAGGGAACAGACCAGACAAGAAAAGAGAAGCAGTCCACACTGTGAGAACATTAAAAGAAACAATACTGAGGATAGCATGAAGAAAGACAAACGTCTGGCGCTGCAATACAGAAATCCAGAAAGCGTAGAACAGAACTGACTGTTGTGGTCGGCAACAAGTTCAACGTGAACAAGTCTGTCATCAAAACCAACCTGCAGTAAGCATGGAAATGGCACAAAACCCAAACAACATTGAGGAGTGGAAAAATGCAAACGGAGGAAGCGCAAAGTCATTTACTGGCCACAAATGCACACAGAAATTGGCCTGTAGCCTTTAGTGAAATATGTTTTCTGAAGACTGTATTTAGAGCAGGGGTGCCCAATACATCGATTGCGATCCACCGGTAGCACACGGACTGGTCCCAAGTTGATCACGAGGAATGTAGAGGGGGGTAAAGAAAGAACAACCAACCCAAAACATTTGTGTGTTTGTGTGCGTGTTATTAATATGTCATATTTTTGTGTTAGTGCAGCCTGTACCCTTAGCATTCTATCAGTCTCTCTTAAAAAAATAAATAAAACAAAAAAA